CTTAAAAGCCTGAATTTTGCCTGGAACTCTCAGACTGAAGAAGTCTCTTGGAGGAGAGACGAAACGTTTCATTAGAGAAGAACCCATCCAGAAGACCTRYACAATTTTTTTCTTTTTGGATGCAAATTAATTTACATCTTGGAAAAGATTTGCTGGAGTTTGTAAATTTCTGCAAGTAGTTTATTTTGATCTGTCAGACTCTGATAAAATTATGATACGTGACATTTACAGAACCACTGATTTTAATGTAGATTTATTTTCTGTATAAACAGCAGAAACCGGTTTCATCTGAGGAAACCTGCACTGTAAACAATGAGCTGTATTATTAGGTTAAATTAGCAGAAAGAAGCTCTAACACACAACGTTGTGTTTCAGTTAATTTAACGACTTGTTTAAGTGCGAAGCGACAAACTGATGAGCCTCCTCCTCCACAGATGGGAAGCTGAAGATGTGGGTGTACGGTGTAGCAGCCGGAGCCTTTGTGCTCCTCATTTTCATAGTGTCTATGATATACCTAGCTTGGTGAGTTGATGAGTGTGATCCCCCTCGTTTGTCAGCCTCCCCCCCTCATTCATCAAACCATTCTTTGTTTTTTTATCCCCACCCACTTTGAGTTGAAGCATGCCCTCCTTCACGTCATCTTGTCTTCATTTCTTTTGCCCSGTGTGAGGGCAGCAGCCTCTGTGCCAGGCTGCAGCACTCTCTGAAGGCCCAGGAGCCTGACGCCAACGGGGCGGCCATGACGGCCGTGTGGATGGGCCGCAACTCGCATGAGATGGTCTACATCTGTCCTGAATGCCAAGAGCTGGCTCAAACCAGCAGTAGTTAATGAGGATGTGGAGGGTTCAGTCCCCCCAACACATCCCCGCCCCCCCACTATAAAGCTCCTGCAGTCCCTGAATTTCCCTGAGAGCTCTGGAAAAGTGTCCAATGTTCAGCCTGACTGAGTGAAGGTGCAGGTGAGGAAAAACAAAACAGATGTTTTATTAGTTCCTTTTAGATCATGTAGATCCTGCAGTTCTTCATATCTGACCCATGTAGTTGATGGATCAGTGTGTAAACACAAGTTTCCCACAGTTGTTTAATCCCATCCTCTGAAGGGGAGTTCTCTGAATGACCTCAGTTTGCAGAAATAGTTTCATTCTGACCAGAATCAAGAGATGAGGACAAGAYTAAAGCGCTCAGTRTGGTCGCTCAGCAGCCAACCGGACAACACACGGTCACGTGGTCGTTCCTTGTCACACACACCTTCCATAGCCCCTGAGACACAACGTGCCGAGCTCCTGGGAAACCCACTGCACAGGGTTTCTTCCCACTGGAGTCTACAAAGTAGAGAAAGTTATTTTTCCATAAATCTGTCCTGGTTAAAGCTCCACAGTTTTTATCAGATTCCTCWGTGCACAACATCTTTTTTATCTCCATGACTTTTTAACCGTTTGACTATCTTTATAAATGTCTGCATCCTGGTAGCCTACAGCAATCAGCTTCTGGAAGCGAGTAGTTTTAATTTTTTTAAGCAAATTCARCATCTGAGAACTTTCAGCATAAACAAACACTCCCACAAACTTCAGACCAATCACACAAGTTCTAATGTGGAGGAAGATATAAAGTTCAGTCCGTGGGTTGCCACCAGAACATGCCGAAATGTCAATAATACGAACAAAATGACACATTTTTGGCGGTTCAGCTGCAGCACACTGGGCGCTTTAATGATTGCTGTTGTCTTAAAACATCACAAACATTTCATGGATTTTAAAATGCTATTTTATACAACACCACTGAGTTTTATATTACTGTTATTCATCAGGAAGTGTTAGCTACTACTGCTATGAGGCTATTCATCTCCTGAAAGAGCTCAGAGACCCTCACACCCCTCCTCGACATCATCAGGGTGGGACATGTTTGAACTTCAGCTGCTTCCATTCAGCTCTTTATTTGAACTTGTTTCCACTACAGCAATCCAGGTTTTAGTTTAGTCTCTTCTTGGACTAGCCATTAGCTCATCATTCTGGTCAAAATGAAACTTTAGGTGTGGATTAACGTCAGTGAAATAAGCTCAAACATGCCAACTTAATGTCAGCATGTTGCCTGTAACATTTCTAGTTCATAGAAAATAAAATATATCCGGTGCATCTGCTGAAACACTGAGAACCTGTGTTAGTTTAGATGTTTTTACTGGGTTGTGTGAAAACATTATTTTTAGTGAACCCAGCTGTACGAACACACAACATGATGAGGTGTTTCTAAAGTGTTAATCTGACAGAGAGGATTAAAAATAATCCAGCACTGCTCACAGCAAACACTCRTTTTGCAAAAACTACATGTTTTTGTCTAAAAGTAGTGAGTGTAAATCAGTCGACTGAATTGATTTAGGAAACTAAAACATTTTAATGTGCTTACACAGCTATAAAATGAAAAACTGAAGCAAATTACACTTAATCCTCCCGCAAAGTACTGTGTACAAAGCTTYAGGCCATTTTTTAAAAACTGACTAGCACTAATGGCCTGAAGGTTTTAAACACCGTATACTGCAAGAAGATTAAGCTTATTTAAGATTCATCACATCAGCGAAACACTTTAGGAACATATTGTGTGTTTATACAAAAATTAAGTYCCAGTTTTGTCCTAAACACTGTCTCGTTAATCCCAACAGAAATGTAYTTAGGTAGCTGCACGTGTTGATTATAAACATATGATTTTATGTTTTTTGTTAAAGGATCAACCAACAGCAGCTGAATATTAACCAATTTGAAATAGTTKAAACTAAAAGGAGTGTTTCTGGATGATATAACGCCGCCCTCTTGTGGSAAATCAGGAAACTACATTGTTCATGTTCAAATTAATTTAAGCAAATTTTCACTTTTCTTTAATTGAGATTAGGACTACACGATATCAGAGAAACCTGCCACGTGTCTTTAATACTGCCATCATGATTTGACTTGAGATAAATAAACAAATACATAAATACGTAGTGTTGATGTCATGCTCTGTGTTCAGAGCAAAAAATAATAATCCACTCAAGCATGAACTAGTGAAAAATATGGAGATCCATCCAGCTGACCAAATGCATGAAGGGCTCTGTTTGATTGGTGAAATACTTCAAGCTTCTGTCTGAGTAACAAAATTCGTAAATGCAAACTTTTGAACTRAGCGTTTATGCAGTTTTTGTGTTATGCACATTGCACAGGCTAAATTTTCTATATATTGTGCAGCCCTCCTTAAGATCATTCTTAAACCCGATTGGTTTTATTCTAAATAAGTGGTATGTTCCTTTTAGGTTAGAATATTATTTATTTATTTATTTATTTATTTACCATTATTATTAAATTGTTTGCTCTTCTGATTATCTCTGTAGTTTACATTTTGAAGCGTTGCATCATTTTGAAGAAATGGCATAAAACTTCAGTTACTAAGTGGGCTGTCCTTCTTACTGCCTGATCAAAATGTGTATTTTAATGGCAGCAAGGCCTAAGAGTAGAAACATGTCTTATTTTCTCTATAGCAGTGGATTTAGGGTACAATCTGTAGCAGCATAAAATATGGGCTTGCTTTATAGGGTGGCTGGACTCAGCCTTAGTCCCACTGGGATCAGACCCCGGGGCAGACCAGAACTCACTAGAGGAATTATAGCCTGGCCTGGAGTGTCGTTGAAGAGGGGTCTAGGTTTCCCTCCTGGACCACAGAAAAGTAGTAAAAGACGGATCGACCAGCATCAACCAAGTGAAAATGATGTTGCAAATCTTTAGTAATAAGATATCTGAGAGGCTATCATTCACGTCATTGTGGCTCATTTCATCTGCCGTTCATGTTTCCACCTACAACACACACACACACACACACACACAGGTCACGATCTGCGTGGTCGTGGTTCGGCCCTCCTTCTAACCCTGTTCCCATCTGTTCACGCAGCAAAAAGCCAAAGAGACCTCAGAGACAGAGGCAGCAAAACAACCGACTAAAACCTCTGACTCTGGCCTACGACGGGGACACGGACATGTAGAGACGACTCGCCGAGCGCTTCACCTGTCACCACTTCATCACGCCGTCACAGCCAGGGACATGGACGTCTGCAGCATGAATGGACACATCACAGATAATCCTCTTAGCAGAAACACAGTTCTGTTAACCGGTTTAAGTCGAGCTCTGTTAACTCCACTTTTCTTTCCTTTTTTTAATTTTGTCAGAGCCTCCCTGACCTCCAGCTCAGTGAAATATTTTCTCTTTCCCCCGACCCAACATGTTCCTCATCGTTAACTGTGAGCATAAAAAGGCCGGGTGCAGACAGCAGCACCCGCCCGGCGCTCGCTTATTCCGCTCGTCCCAGAAAACGCTGAGTAGCTGGAGGCTTTGGATGCTCTGACGCTTCGTACGTTGCCAAAAGTCACCGCAGGGAAGAGGAGGAGGGAGGAGAAAATCTCCATCAAAAGGTTTGGATTCCTTCTCCCTCAATCCTCAACCGGGTTTTGACTCAAATCTCTTTTCCAGTCTTGAACAAAAGGAAGGTTTTTTTCTGCTTGATTCAGAGGCGCACAAGCCTGTGTTTGTGGGATAAACTGATCCGTGTGATGCTGATGGAGGAGAAGCCTGGAAACTACTGCCTGCCTGTTTGTCCTTGCTTTCTTTCAGGCACTACATTGCACTATATTAGTGCAGCATGATATGCACACGTGACTTCTACCTTCTATTGCCATAAAACACTGCCTCTTCCACAAACAGAACCGGACAGCAGAGGAGCAGCCGACAACACCAGGACATTCAGAGTTCACAGAAACAGGTGTGGAGTAAATAACATGTATAGATTTTATTTCTCACAGCTGAGGTTTTTTTTCTTTTTGGTTGTAGTAAAGTACATTTTTGTGGTTTGTAGATCTCGTTTGGTGTTCTCACCTTATTTCTGCCCAGACGCAACTCTGATATCAGCGGGTGGTTTTGTTTTTAAATGATTTGGTTCATTTTCTTACCGTTTACCTGAACACACAAAGTGGAGAAAAACTGAAGCCATTCACATCGCGCAAATGTCATTTCTGCCTTACTGACGCCAATTAAACAGAACTGCTCGTTTAACAGGGCAAATATACTCTACGGCAAATTTAACAAAGCTAAAATCTGTTTCTTGTAGGAAACCGGTGCGTTTGTACACCTTCCTCATGTACTAACCATATCATAGATGCTCTATTGTTTTCAGTCTCACTTTGTAGAGATAAAAAATATATTTAAAAACAAAACGAACACACAAATGTACAAATAAAATATACAATATGTCGATACGAACATGCTTCTTCTGAGTTCAGTGTGGAGAAAAAAAACTGATGTGGAGAATGTTTACTTTTTTTCGTGAAATTTGTAAATAATGTTTTTTTATTTTTTTGAAAAAAAAAGTACGTGTACATTTATTTTGTATTGCAAAGTGGGTGTATGATATTGTTGTATGTTGTGACAAAAAAGAGGGAAACAAAAAAAGACAAAGATYCGATTGTTTTGTACAGTTTGTTCGTATGTATGGAGAGAATTACTGAAAATAAACGCGAACAAGGTTGTCAACAAAACATATGGTGGTCATGAAGTCATTTACTTTTTTTTTAAAAGCGATCCATGATTAGTTGTAACATTAGACTTTACTTGCTAAACATATTTTAACTGTAAAATAAAGACTGTAAAGATATTGTAGGCTGTTTAGTTTTTATAATTTTTAAGTAAAAGTTTAAAAATATATTACACGTACGGGGCCATTTTATTTACACGCAAAGCATTCTGGGTAAATGGTGACGTGGATAGGTCCTAATGAGCTAAATCCACCCTGAAGGTTAATCTTGGACAATATCTGATGATCGACTCTTTTAAATGAAACCAGAGAGCGTTGACAGAGAGGAGAAGGTAGAAATGACTCAGCTTGTAACTGAAAATATGGATGGAGGACAACAGAGCTGCTTCATGGAAGAAGAACCTCAGCTTAGCCTGTTAGCTTTAACATTAGCCCCGGTGCTATCACCATATATATTAGCTCAGTGCTACACATTCTCCTCTCATCACTGAGGTCCTCCATCCACATGACAGAGAGGGGAACGCACAAATGACTCAGCCTGTAACTGAAAATATGGATGGAGGACCTCAGTTTAGCTTGTTTGTCGCGCTAGCACCGAGCTAATACATATAAGGCAATATAGCGTCGGCGCTAAAGCTAACAGGCTAAGCTGAGGTTGTTCTTCCATGAAGCAGCTCTGTTGTCCTCCATCCATATTTTCAGTTCCAGGCTGAGTCATTTCTACCTTCTCCTCTCTGTCAACGCTCTCTGGTTTCATTTAAAAGAGTCGATCATCAGATATTGTCCAASATTAACCTTCAGGGTGGATATAGCTCGCTAGCACCTCGCACCGAGGACCTATCCACGTCATCATTTACCCAGAATGCTTTGTGTGTAAATAAAATGACTCCGTCCGTATTAAAATATATTTTTAAAAATTTACAAAACTACAGTATTTTTACAGTCTTTATTTTACAGTTAAAATAAATCTTTATCAAAAAAAGTCTAATGTTATAACTAATCGGGGATCACTTTAAGAAGCTGAAAATGTTCTGGCTCRTGCCGTCAAACAACCACAGGGTGCCACTGTAGGAGGAAATTAATCTCAAAACCAAACAAATTAAACATAGCTTGATGATTTAAAAGCTTATTTTGAAAAGACACTTCCTTTTTATTAGCCAACATCTGAAAATAAACACCATTTTAAATCAGTAAAAGCTTAAAGCTGTCAACTAATCAACTGAACAGAGCTGCTGTTTTCCAGAATCCTAGAAATTTTTAAAATCGTGAAAAAAAAATCTTAGAATTACCAGCTATTGTTTGCAAAATATCACTCAGATCCACTTAAAACCTGAAAGAGTCAAATTTCATAATCTTAGCAGGTGCAGGAAAATCCTATTTAATGTAGAAATAATGTTAAATATCAACACAATACATTCAACACTGCTATTTTTATATGTAGGATAAATAGTTTGCGGTTGTGTCATTCAGCTCATAGCTGCTGAGTGATATTTGAAAGCAGCAACTGTCATACAGGCTGGAAAATAAATCTGTACTATGATGTCCTAAACATCTCAGCAACAGCTTTTTGGTRTTTTTCTGTAAATGGGCTTAAATCCTCTAAAAGTACATCAYATTTAGACGTCAACACGAGCGGGTGAGTTTCTCCACATGTACAAAACACAGCAGCGCAACGACGACGGCACGGACATGTTAAGATGATAAAAAATGTGTTTTTTAATCAACTTAAATCCTGTTTTGTTCGAGGCCTATTTTAAATCTATGCATTACAGAAAATCCTGACAGGTAAGTTTTAAAACTGACCCAATGACTTTATAAAGAGGCTGCAGTGCAGAGAGACTGGTGCCTTATTTATCTTTATATTACAATTAATCATGAAAGTGAATATGTAGATTTGCACACTTTATAAGACCACAAATGTTCAGATTTTAGCAATTTATGAAATTTTCCATGAGCCTTTGCTGCCCCAAAACTTTCTCCAAGTGATTGATTAAAATAATTAATTAATTAATT